AACATAACAGATACGGTAGTCCGGTTCGAGGGATTATATCCAGCCAGTTAGACAAGACAGTGGTATATGATATGTACTGAATGGGGAGTCTCGAAAGCCTACTCAATACCAAACAAAGATAAGAATATTCTTGTGCAGCAGACAGAAGATGGATGGAAATACCGAATGAGATCAGGAGCTGTTTCACTAAATTCACCTGAATTGACACATCCTTGAGAAACATTAAAAAATACTATGAAACACGCATTTCTAAATTGAGGGATGAGGATACAGCTATTCAAGATGGCTGCCATCACGTGTCTTGTTGTTGAGTTATTGTTCAGTGCTATGGCTGTTGACGGGACGTCTGGAAAGGTGCTGAGTGAACGGACCGATTCTGGAAGTTATCATGACTACTCTGACAGAGAAGGCATACAGAATTACGCTCTTCAAGGTCCCGCTGTCACTACCAAACTGGGAAAACATGTTAAGACCAACTCAAAGCAGTAAAACAGGTAGTCTACCTCTTTGATGAATACGTCAATATCCTCCTGGAATGAATCGGAGGAGCAGACGTCTATGGCTCCGCCTGAACAGCTTGTTCCCATTCCCTCTCGAGGGGTACAGGTGGCCAGTTCGCATTTTTCGAAGATCAGGGCGAGCAGTGGGAAGAGAGGGTGACTAGAAATCATGCAGAAATGGTATGGAAAAAAGGTGAGATAAACAGTTGATTAGCTCGGAGTGCACGTGTAAGCAACTAAACAAAATCGTGACAACATTTATATGCATTGCGAATTTTGGAAATCACATGGTCGAAATCCGATTACCATCGCAGTCCGCTGTTCAGCAACTACAGCCATCTTGAATATTATGTAGTTATGCATGCACACTCAGCTCGTCTACCCCCTCGGACTTGACTGCATGTAACTAAGGCGCATGAGTTGTATGCATCTAGGCTTGTGTAAAGTGTTGAGATAGCAAGAGAAATTCATTGTCAGTACTAATTTGGTCTCTCTTGTCACTTGTAGACTGGTATTTTAAAAAAGGGAAGCAGCTCTTCTTTCAATTCATTAAGAAGGAGTCTTGAGCTAGTCTTAAAATTCACTATTTTAAGGACTTTTATTTTGTGTGACAGAGATTCTCTTCAGAAAACGACGGCTGATTCGCGTTGTTATGCCAACGTTTGGTTTCACTACGACGTTCAGGTTGACGGAGCCCACGATACAGCTGGCCGTATAAAACTATTTTTCAAAGATATGATTGTTGATTATTGTAATTTGGATGTCTGGCTGAGGATTTATTTGTTAGCTTGTTCGATTATTGGTGTGTCTTGGGGAGTGGTGGCTTCTTATAGTTGAAAATGTGGTTTAATGGGAATAGATTTACTTATATATTTATTGGGATATTTTTATAATTGTGTTCGTAGTATTGGGTTGGTTTGTCCCTATCGTTGGGATTTCAATTTATTGTCTTATATTTTCTTAAAAATAATAAGTTTCAAGCATATTAATTTTTTTATTGCCATTTTTTTGTAGTGTTAATATTAGTTGTTTACTCATCTTAGTATATTGTAAATTATGTCTATTTTTCGTGTAGAAGATAAAATTTTTGTTTTATTTGAGTAGTGATAAATCGATTTATGTTTTATTCTGTATATATACCGTGTGTTGATATGCCAACTAGTGGTAAATTAAATTTATTTTGATGTAGTGGTTCCATGGCAGAATTTGCTATGGTTATTTAGTATTAGAGTAAGGTTTCGAGATGCTGGGTTGCTTTTTGTTTGTTTATTTATTCATATGGGCCGTGGAATTTATTAAAGAAGTTATAGAAAGAATCCTTTAATGTGAAGTTTATGGGTTGTGCTATATATTTCTATAATGGCTGAAG